CCGAAGTGCTGGGATTACAGGCTTGAGCCACCGCGCCCGGCACCTTTTAATTTTATTTCAATGTGTTGCATATTATTATTTCTTTTGGTCATGAAAACCAGAGTTTGCAAAAGTGACTGTGGGTGAACACGTGAATTGTTAACCCTCATCCTATTATTACAGATTATAAACTTCTTGAGGGCATGAAACTCTGACTCTGCCTCTTTCTGCCTGAAGTTGCCTTTTTTCCTCTCGTCCGTATCAGCAGAGCTGAATTCCACCAGCAGGGTTCAGTGCATGCCACCTTCTCCTGCAGGGAGTTTCTCGGCCTCTCCCTTCTGCCTCTCTTCCTCTGTTGAACTCCCAAAACCTCTTCCCTGCATGCCTGATCCTGTATGTTTCCTGGGTATCTTTGTTTTGCAGTGTTCCATGAGCATATCTTAGTTCCCCTGCCTCCTTGCAAACCTTTGAGGGTAGAATTTTTGTTTCTCTTATGGCACTGAGTTTTAGTATCAGCCCTTAGAACTGGTTCTGGCTGGTTGAGTAAAAACCATCTGAAATAAGATGAACCTCTGGGACAAGGTGGGAAGGAGACTTTCCAGTGTTTACTTTGTGTGCCTTTTCAATTTGTTATCATATGAATGTATTACTTATTCAGAAGAGAAATCAAGGTATAAAAATACATATGAATTCCAGGGTCTCATCCCAGCTCTTCTAAACCAGAATCTCTGTAGGAGCAGGGGAGGTGGAATCTGTAAATCTGTATTCCCTGAAACCTTCCAGGTGATTTTGATACCTAGCCAGGTTTAGGAAACACTGGCTCAAAGCGTATAATAGGTATTCAGTAAGCTTCCGTTCAAAGGAGGAATGAACACTTGTTTGTTTGTTTGTTTGTTTTTAAGACAGAGTCTCACTCTGTTGCCCAGGCTAGAGTGCGGTGGCACGACCTTGGCTCACTGCAACCCCCGCCTCCTGGGTTCAAGCAATTCTTCTGCCTCAGCCTTCCAAGTAGTTGGGACCACAGGTGTGCACCACCATGCCTGGCTAATTAAATGCTTATCTTTCTGTAGCACTTAGCTGATGCCTTCTGCCTAGCAAGTGTGTTTGACACACACAGACACACACACACACACACACGCACGCACATTTAGAGTTTTGCTCTTGTTGCCCAGGCTGGAGTGTGGAGTGCAGTGGCACTATCTTGGCTCACCACAACCTCTGCCTCCCTGGTTCAAGCCATTCTCCTACCTCAGCCTCCTGAATAGCTGGGATTACAGGCATGTGCCACCATACCCAACTAATTTTTGTACTTTTTTTTTTTTTTTTTTTTTTAGTAGAGGTGGGGTTTCACCATGTTGGTCAGGCTGGTCTCGAACTCCCGACCTCAGGTGATCCGCCTGCCCTGGCCTCCCAAAGTGCTGGGATTATACAGGCATGAGCCACTGTGCCTGGCCAATAAATACTTATTAAGGGAATTAAAGAAAATTTTGAATTCAAATGCCATGATCACCTCCACCACCCCATCCCACTCTCTTAGCTGGAAAGTGGAGTCATCTGTTCTTCCCCAGGCTCTCACTCTGTCTGGGGTAGATGGGCTACTTCTCACCTGGACCACTACAATGGCCCATGGGTCCTACAGCCTGCCTCCCTCTGAGCCTTTCAGCATACTGCAGGCTGTGTGATTTTTTTTAAAAAAAGCTCAGATCTCGTTATGATTCTCAATGTTCCCTATTCCCTGCAATATAAAATTTAACTGTAGGGAGTCCTTTAGGACCCTTTATGATCTGGCCTGACTCTTCTTTCCCAGGCCATCTCATTCAACAGATACTTGCTGAGGCCTGCCGTATGTGTGCCTAGCCCCACCATGGATGCTGACCACTCCTGCCACCACTCAGCCTCCCTCTTCAGTCCCTGAGAACAGTACCCACTTTGATCATTTTTAATTTATTTTGCCTATAGTGTCCCTTCTGCTTAGAGCATTCTTCCTATACCCCTGTTTTATTTTTTTATGGAAGTAATCCAGGGCCTGTATAAATAATTTTTCTTACTCTTCTAACATTTTATAGTTATCTCCAGTATATGGCCTGTCATCATGGATTCCAATGATTAGTTCTTTTTCTTCCCCTAGACTCTGAGCTCCTTGAGAACAGAGACTTGTCTTCCTCCCATTCCTATCTCCAGCATATCTCTAGCATTGAAGTACTGTGTCTGACCATATCAACATATTTGCTGGATAAAGTTGTTAGAAGGATGAAGTTTGTGTGTCTCAAGAAGGCAAATCAAGGTGCTACTTATTAACTTTATTAACTATTAACTTTAAAAGTGTTCTGCCACACAAAGGTAGATATCCCCCTGGAAAATGTCATGCTTGGAGTTTGCAAAATTATGACAATATTTTAATGACATATATAATGATACTTACTGTATATGTTGTTCTGTTAAGGATGACTAAGATACTATTCCATGTTAAGAGTTGGCCTTTTGCTAACCATCCTAGTTAAACAATCTGAGAGAAGAATCGGAATCCCACAGAAGTGATTGGGGCTTCGTATATTATAAATCTGAGTCAGGACACCCTAGAGTGTTCATTAGCCTGATGGGAAATGCTGTATTCCCCAAATGGAAGCAGAGCCTAATCAGAGGTTCAGGATGCTGTGAAGCAGAATGTTTTGGAAGATGTAGTAGTTTTGAATTGGAAAGACAAAATAGATGATGTCAGCATAGACCTAAGCCGCCTTTTTGAATCATATAGCATGTGTTTTGTAAGATCTGAAGCTATCTAGTCAGGCTGATGAAGAACTAAAATAATGTGTGGGCTTCCCAGAAGCCAAACATGATTAAAAAAAAAAAAAATGAGTCAGGGGAGAGGAGATCCTACAGGGGCCCAGAGCAGAGAGACCTCAAGAAAGGCAAAGGAAACATCAGCAAAGTATGCTATTGATCTGTGACCCAGGAAGAACAGACTCCTTCACTCAGGGGAAATCCTTTCTCCCTTCAGAGACACAGAGGAAGTCATAAGATTCCATTTCATTCCAATTTTATTTGTAGAAACAATCCCCCATACTTCTAGAATAGATTCGTGGAAGATTAAAGTTAAAGACAGGGTAGACATAAGTAGAAGAACTAACGTTAAATAAAGAAAATGACAATAGGCACACCAGAAACCCAGGCCAAGAATAGCTACAACAATGATAAAAGTTAGTTCTGAGCTGCTTTGAGAATTAAAACAGAAACATGGTGAATATAGTGTTCTCATTATCTGAATTGAAGAGTTTGTTCGTAGAAAGGTACTTTTTTCCTGTGACTGGATACCATAAAAGAATTTATCAAATGGATCCTTGTCTAAAGGACACTACATAATGCAATAGTCACAGCTTATAATAACAACTTTACAAAAAGGTAAAGAGAGGTTCTTTGTGTGGCCATCTGGTCCATCCAACTGATAAATGCCGTGAGCTAAATGATATACTTTAGTGCTAGGAAAATATTACCACTGAGAGTTAAAGAAGTATCATCAAAGTGTAAGGCTTTCTGGAGACATCACTTAACACAGAGTAGCACAGAGGGACTAGATGAATAGCTGGTTAGTATGTTCTGACGACTAGAGGGTTTGTTTGTTTGTTTGTTTTTGCTTTACTTTTAACTGTATTGGGTGATCTATTGGTGGGTAGTGAAGTTAGTTGCTGTAAGCGTTCTTTGAAAGAAAAATACTAGAGCAGAACAGAATGCATCACACCTAGTAAGGGTGAGTGTTAATTTTGTTTGTGTCTTAGGTCACTGTGTACTGTGTATCTCTTACTGTGGGAAGTATGAAAGCTGCTGCTTTTCACTGCCCTCACTAAAATATCAGTAAGCTCCAGCACCCCAGGCTCATGATATAGGACGTATATAGAGAATATAGCAAATACGGAGAAGAATGGAGATGGGATCCTCAGACTAGAACAAGAGCCACTGTCCCTTGAAGTTGTGCTAATTCAGGAACATGTGACTAGATTCATTCTTGTCCATTCTTGTCAAAGGACTTAGACATGTCCATTTCCTTAGAAATGTCCTTTTCTTCTCCTTTTTGTTTGCCTTCAGTACCTGACAGTTCTTTTTGAAAGCCCTAGTCTACTTTCTCTCTAATAAAAGGGGAGATTAGAAAAGGAATGTGATGAGTCCCCGCAGGGCCAATAGCGCAGGGAGGCAGGATGCCCCTGGTGGTCAGACTTGGTCACACACCCTGCGACGGTAGAGAAACCCTTTTGTGCAACAAATTAGGAAGAGCTCCTTCAGTTCTTATTTTTTCTCTGAGTGAGCAATAGCTTTACATATAGGTACCACTTAAAGGAAATTCTCTTTTAAAAAAAAAAATCCTGGGCAACATGGTGAAATCCCGTCTCTACAAACAATACAATAATTAGCTGGGCATGGTAGCTCACACCTGTGGTCTCAGTTACTCGGGAAGCTGAGGTGAGAGAATTGCTTGAGCCTGGGAGGCAGAGGTTGCAATGAGCGGAGATCGCACCACCACAGTCCAGCCAGGATGACAGAGCGATACTTTTTCTCAAAAAAAAAAAAAATCATTTTCCTGCTTCATGGTTATGACTGGATCATCAGAGTTCTCTTTGAAAATAGGCTGGAAGCTTGTGGCAGGACCATGGCATTGCCCAGCTCTAGTAGTTCAAAGAAGCAGCCTTGAGTGATGATGAGACCCTTAATATTTCAGGAAAAAAAAAAAAAACTCTTCCCCTCCAAATTTGGACATGTATATATAGCTCCAACTTTGGAGAAAAGGAGAAGGAGTTCTGGGAGGATTTCCAATGACAACAACTATTAGCAATGGTATGAGAAACAGGCTGGGGCAAGAAAAAGATTTAGCTTCTAATGTTGACTCTTGAGTCTCAGGAGCATCCGCAGAATGAGATAAAAACCTGAATTTTCATACGCAAGAACAGTTTTTCACAGAAGCGGAAAATAGTCTAGAAATAAAGAAGCCACCTGTGGAAGAGTCTCTCACCATTTCTCTTCTCTTGTTTCAGATGACAGTCATGTCCCTTTCCAGGGACCTCAAGGACGACTTTCACAGTGACACAGTGCTCTCCATCTTAAATGAGCAGCGCATTCGGGGCATTTTATGCGATGTCACTATCATTGTGGAAGATACCAAATTTAAAGCCCACAGCAATGTTCTGGCAGCTTCGAGCCTGTATTTTAAAAATATCTTTTGGAGCCATACAATCTGTATTTCCAGCCACGTCCTGGAGCTGGACGATCTCAAAGCTGAAGTGTTTACTGAAATACTTAATTATATCTACAGTTCCACAGTCGTTGTCAAAAGACAGGAAACAGTCACTGACCTTGCAGCTGCAGGAAAAAAGCTGGGAATATCATTCTTGGAAGACCTTACAGATCGCAACTTCTCCAATTCCCCGGGTCCCTATGTATTCTGTATTACTGAAAAGGGAGTGGTCAAAGAAGAAAAAAATGAAAAAAGGCATGAAGAACCAGCCATCACTAATGGGCCAAGGATCACAAATGCATTTTCCATCATCGAAACAGAAAATAGTAATAACATGTTTTCCCCGCTGGACTTGAGGCCAAGTTTCAAAAAGGTCTCCGACTCCATGAGAACAGCTAGCCTTTGCCTGGAGAGGACGGACGTCTGCCACGAGGCAGAGCCTGTCCGCACACTCGCCGAGCACTCATACGCTGTTTCTTCGGTCGCTGAGGCTTACAGAAGTCAGCCTGTACGTGAACATGATGGCAGTTCACCTGGGAACACAGGGAAAGAAAATGGTGAAGCCCTTGCAGCGAAACCAAAAGCATGCCGAAAGCCGAAGACGTCCTCCATACCGCAGGATTCTGACTCGGCTACAGAGAATATACCACCCCCTCCAGTATCCAACTTAGAGGTCAATCAAGAAAGAAGTCCACAGCCAGCTGCAGTTCTCGCTCGTTCGAAATCTCCAAACAACGAAGGAGATGTCCATTTTTCCAGGGAAGATGAAAATCAATCTTCTGATGTTCCCGGGCCGCCGGCAGCAGAGGTTCCACCTCTGGTGTACAATTGTAGCTGCTGCTCCAAAGCCTTCGACAGCAGCACTCTGCTCAGTGCCCACATGCAGCTTCACAAGCCAACCCAGGAGCCTTTAGTGTGCAAGTATTGCAACAAACAGTTCACCACCCTGAACAGGTTGGATCGGCATGAACAGATCTGCATGAGGTCAAGCCACATGCCCATTCCTGGAGGAAACCAAGGCTTTCTAGAAAACTACCCTACCATTGGACAGAATGGAGGTTCATTCACAGGTCCAGAACCTTTATTATCTGAAAATAGGATTGGTGAATTTTCCAGTACTGGAAGTACTTTGCCAGACACAGACCACATGGTTAAATTTGTGAATGGGCAAATGCTCTATAGTTGCGTTGTGTGCAAACGTAGTTACGTGACCTTATCCAGCCTCCGAAGACATGCAAATGTTCACTCCTGGAGAAGAACATATCCTTGCCATTACTGCAACAAAGTATTTGCATTGGCTGAGTACAGGACAAGGCATGAAATCTGGCATACGGGAGAAAGACGGTATCAGTGCATTTTCTGTCTTGAAACTTTCATGACCTACTATATACTCAAAAATCATCAGAAGTCTTTCCATGCCATCGATCACAGACTTTCCATCAGTAAAAAAACAGCAAATGGAGGCTTGAAGCCTAGTGTCTATCCATATAAACTTTATAGGCTACTGCCTATGAAATGCAAGAGAGCCCCTTATAAGAGCTATCGAAATTCTTCCTATGAAAATGCACGAGAGAACAGTCAAATGAATGAGTCTGCAGCTGGTATCCTATGTTGTTCAGAATCCACACAGCTCTGAATTACCTACGCTGAATTTCCAAGATACTGTAAACACCCTGACTAACAGTCCAGCCATCCCATTGGAAACATCTGCATGTCAGGACATACCCACTTCGGCCAATGTTCAAAATGCAGAAAGCACCAGATGGGGAGAAGAGGCATTGAAAGTTGATCTTGACAATAACTTTTATTCAACTGAGGTGTCAGTTTCTTCCACTGAAAATGCTGTCACTTCCGACCTCCGGGCAGGGGACGTACCTGTTTTATCTTTGAGTAATGGCAGTGAGAATGCCGCCTCTGTGATCAGCTACAGTGGCTCTGCGCCCTCGGTCATTGTGCACAGCAGCCAGTTTTCCTCGGTGATCATGCACAGCAATGCCATTGCTGCCATGACCAGCAGCAACCACAGAGCCTTTTCAGACCCAGCTGCCAGTCAGTCCTTGAAAGATGACAGTGAACCTGAGCCGGATAAAGTGGGTAGGTTTGCAAGCAGGCCCAAAAGCATTAAGGAGAAAAAGAAAACGACACCACATAACAGGGGAGAAATGCTGGCGGAGTCAAAATACGTTGCTGACCCTGGAGGATCATTGAGCAAAACCGCAAGTACTGCTGAAGAAACCAGCAAAATTGAAACCTACATTGCGAAGCCTGCTCTTCCGGGAACCTCCACAAATAGTAACGTTGCACCCCTCTGCCAAATAACAGTGAAAATCGGAAATGAAGCCATTGTGAAAAGGCACATTCTAGGATCTAAATTGTTTTATAAAAGAGGGAGAAGACCCAAGTATCAGATGCAGGAGGAACCTTTGCCACAGGGGAATGACCCAGAACCCAGCGGAGACAGCCCACTTGGACTTGGCCAATCCGAGTGCATGGAGATGAGTGAAGTGTTCGATGAGGCAAGTGACCAGGATTCCACCGACAAACCGTGGCGCCCTTACTACAACTACAAACCCAAAAAGAAATCCAGACAGTTGAGAAAAATGAGGAAAGTCAGCTGGAAGAAGGAGCACGGAAACAGGAGCCCGAGCCATAAATCTAAGTACCCAGCAGAACTGGACTGCGCTGTGGGGAAGGCTCCTCAGGATAAAGCCTTTGAGGAAGAAGAAACGAAAGAGATGCCCAAGCTGCAGTGTGAACTCTGTGATGGAGACAAAGCAGCGGGGGCTGGACACCCAGGAAGGCCCCACCGACATCTTACTTCTCGGCCATATGCCTGCGAGCTCTGCGCCAAGCAGTTCCAGAGCCCTTCCACGCTCAAAATGCACATGAGGTGTCATACCGGGGAGAAGCCGTACCAGTGCAAGACCTGCGGACGGTGCTTTTCAGTGCAAGGAAACTTACAGAAACACGAACGTATCCACCTGGGCTTAAAGGAGTTTGTCTGTCAGTATTGCAACAAGGCATTCACCTTGAATGAGACCCTCAAAATCCATGAAAGAATCCATACTGGAGAAAAGCGTTACCACTGTCAGTTCTGCTTTCAGAGTTTTTTGTATCTCTCCACCAAAAGGAATCATGAGCAGAGGCATATTCGGGAGCACAATGGGAAGGGCTATGCCTGCTTCCAGTGCCCCAAAATCTGCAAAACAGCTGCTGCCCTTGGAATGCACCAAAAGAAACACTTATTCAAAAGCCCAAGCCAGCAGGAGAAAACAGGTGATCTGTGCCACGAATACTCAAATCCCTTGGAGAATCAACATTTCATAGATTCAGAAGACAATGACCAAAAGGATAACATACCAACCGGTGTGGAAAATGTTGTCCTTTGAATGGCAAGAGTTAGAAAAATCTTCAAAAATATAGTTGGTATTTTTTTTTAGTTAGTTTTGTTTTAAGTTTAGTTTAATTTTGTTCACATAACGGTCATGAAGGAGTGAAATGTTAAAAACAAACAAACAAACAAACAAACTCATTTGTGAAAATTCCAGAAAAAGGATCCTAATATCTACTTTGGGTTTTAGCATTAACTTTATGCAAAGTGCACAGAAACGAAATAGCTGAATCCTCCAATATCCCAAGTATCTTGTGAAAGTTAATGAAGTTCTTAGCTGTGGTATTTCTACCAGTGAAAAGAGGAATTTAATTTTAGCCCAATTTAAAACTTTCTAATAATTGCTAATCGGAACTGGCTGCTGAACTGTCTTTAGTCACTGGAGAAAATAAGGGTAAGCTATCCTGAAGATGGCACCTTCATGAACATGTTACTTGGTAATGAGCTGTGACGGTCTTTATTCCCATCTGGCTTCTGCACTATTAAAATTTGTTTAAATTAATGGTTACATATGAAATACTTAAACAATATAACTGAAATTATGTGCATAATGAGTAACCTAAAGTAGGACATTCATACATTATGTAGAACTACTTTTCTGCAACACAAACCTTGTAAAATACATATATAAATCACTATGACTTTTAAGTGTCCATATCCCCTGTAGAGAATTATGATGAGCAATAGATCTGCAAATAATGAGGACTGATGTAAAAATCAGTAGAAAGCATTTTGAATATGATTTAAGAGCATGTGTATGCTTTTAGATGGAATGCTGTTTCCTTGAAGTTATGGCTGAGCTGTTCTTAGAACTGGTCTACTCAATTCACGGAAAACATAGGTCATGCCTTATCTATGGGGGAAAGCCCTCCCAGAATTTACCTGTGATTACCTGTGCTGCATGTTACTTTGCAATGGCCTCATCTCAGAGAATGAAAGAGGGTCAAATTCCTCCAAAACTCTCTGCAGTCTTCCAACCACAAGGCCATGAATGGTGGGGGTCTATTCCAGACAGACTTAGGGGTTCACGTGGAACCTGCCATTCCACTGAAGGACTAAGAGATTTAGTGTAAAGAACACTGCAGTAGTGAATTCCCGGGCACTTGAAAGTGACTGCCTAATCCCTACAATTACTAGCCTTCTTGGAGATTATGCAGCCCACAAGTACCGACTAGTATAAAGCAAAAGGACGACAGAACCCCACCCTCCACCCCACTCATTAATGACTTGAGTGGGCAGGAAGAAGGGATGACCTCCCTTGCCTAAAACAGTAGCTGTGTTTTTAGGGGATGGGGAGGTAGGATGTGGAGTGACATGGTTCTGTTCCTTAATTACGTGACTCAAATATATCCACAAAGCCAGTTGCTCTGTCTTCATATTTGCAGACATCTAGACCCCTTGCTAAAAAAACCCACTGAAGTTTTTTTTAATGTTCTTTTACACTGACCCACACCATCAACATTACCCTCAAATCTAGTTGCCCTACAGCATATTCTTTCATGTGGACTAGGTTCCTGGAAAGCTGGAACTCATGATTCTTACTACTTTAAACTGCCAGAATAGGAGGGAGAGGGAAAACATTTCTACCCTTTGATCACTGGTGTGAGCAGAATCCGGATTGCAGTTTCAGCATGACCTGCAGTCATTCACGTTCATTGGATTTGACAGATGGAAACCCAAGGTTATCGAAGGTTGGAAGGTTATCATTGCGAAGAAGTAGTTCAAAAGACTCCATTTTCTTTCTACAAGTGTGATGTCTCCATGAAGAAGACTTAGTATGGATTTGGGTGGGTAAGAAAGCATTTAAACGCCCAGGAAAGGACATGATTCAAGTTGACCTTTTAATACTGTAGTACCTTGCTGTTAAGTAACCCCACTATTGTATCTGCATTTATCTTTTGTTCATCTACTTTCACTTACATACAGTATTATATAAGTAGAGAAAAATGGGCAAATGCAAGCAAATTCAACTTTATACATTGTATATATGTATACCCTACACTATTCATTTGGGTTTTGTTAAAGAGATAGTCACAAAGGGCTTATGAAAATCATTTTTGAATTGATAATTAGAATATTGAATAAGAAATCCTGTGACCCACTAATTTTTTTCAGTAATATGAGTGAAAGAGAACTACTGTGTAATCTAGTCATTTTGATTTGAGTTAACCCCAAATATAAAATTACCTGTAGTGATGTCTCTTGGTCCTTACATGTGGATATTTTTTAAGTGGACTTGTATGCTGATAATTCTAGACCAAAGTAAATATGGCAGAATATTTATACATGAAAAGATAATTTTGCAAATATTTTCTATAATTGTATTCATTTAAAATGTTGATAGCTTGTGTTAGTTTCAGGGAGGGGTGTATATTTTGATAAAAAAAATACTTGACTTTGTAATTCTGTATATTCTATACAATTTATAGCAGAGCCATTTTAAGACAGCCTTGTCACATTTTTTTGTTAATTGTGAAAATTTTATTGAGTGATGTTTATGCATTGAGTACATGACCAACTAGAATTAAAGTGTAAACAGTGAACATACTGTATGCTGTACAAGATATAATGTAACTTGCTGTTTTAGCATCTGTATTTTGGTTAGAAGATATTATTAAATGCAGATGTTAAGGATTGGAAAAGTCTAATTTTATTTTTAGAAATAATGGATATAAATTTGTTTTTGCTTGATTAAAATAGCTTATTCCTACATTAAGTCTCTTTTTAAATGTTTTAATGTTTTCTTCTGTGCAGCTATTTCATCTGTATGTCACAGCTTTGTTTCCACATATTCAGTATACTTCTGTTTCCTTGTTCACATTCCATGGTACCTACGTACATGCTTAGGAGTCCAGTGGATTATGACATTAGGAAAAAAAAGAATAAAAGAGATTGAAGTCTTCGGATGATTGAGTGTTTTGGATAGGTCTGATCTTATCATGATAAATCAGAGAATGAAATGCTCTCCCAGAAGCATTCTGCTCCACTCATTCACAGGAAACAAATGACTTTGAGTACCAGGCACCTGGCAACGTCTTTACATAGGTAGTTCATTAACACACAACAGAATTTGACCTCATTATCCTCATTTTATAGTGACTTTGAGAAGGTCCCGCAACCAGACAGAGCCAGGATTCTAACCCAGGTGTGCCTGACTCCAAAGCCTGTGTTTCTGTTCCTTCTCAAAACTGGGGGGGGGAAAATGATTAATAGAAACTGAACAGAGTATGAAGAAAGAGGAGCCATGATAAAGTAATGCAGCTTTAGGATGGCAGTGACTGCCCTGGAACGGGATGAAAGGAAGCTGTGTGAATTGGGCTTCCCTTATATCTCAGGAGATTGTCCTATAAAATCAGTAAAATGTGTGCACTTTTTAAGGATATGGAGTAAAATTATAATGTAATGGTATTATAAGCTGGCAATTTTCACATTTAAAAAAAATCTGTTCCGTCGTCACAGACTCTACTCCTAAACTTAGCTAACCATCTTGCAAATGCCTGCAGTTTGTCCCAGTGGGCAATGTGAGAGGGGCTGTCAGTGGCTCAGGCAGCATAGTCCATCACCAACACACAAAATCACTGCCAGGCCTACCAGTGGCTGGCCAATAGCATCAATTTTGTATTGGAAGGGCAATTCAAACCAGATACACCAAAAATTTGATAACTGTTATCTGCTAAAACTAATTCCATTATCTAGAACAACAGATTTAATATAGAAAGAATTTGTAGCAATTGAGAAAAAGCATAAAACAAAAATGTTAGTACTTTTTTTTTCCATTCGGTATTTTAATTCTTAGTGCTCTTCATCTTTCCTCATCGCCCACCGATTGATTTGGTTCCACTCCCATTTGTGTCTATCAGTTTCTTTTTATAGAAGCAACAGCTCTTCCACTTCAGTTTCCTCCATATCTGAGAACTCATCACCTTCACCCTCCCCAAATCTTGACCAGCTATTGATTTCTCTTCTGGAGAGAGAAGCCTCCTTTGCTCCCTCCCTATTTTGTACCTCGTAACTCAGTTCTTCAAGCAAGATGGTCAGTGAGCAAGCAAGTTGGCGTGATGTGCAGTTTAGAATATTCACTCTAAATTTAGACAAATGGAAGAACTAGTTAGAAATGTTATATTTTTATTAGTAACATCTAAAAACATCCATTTTACTTAGAATGTTTTTCTCCAAAATCTCTTTTTCGCAATAATTTTAAAATGTATGACGTATGTGATTATAGGCAAAAGTATTTTATTCCAATTAGAGAAATTGGTAAACACATTTTAAAGAGGTATTAATGCAGCCGGACGTGGTGGTTCGTGCCAGTAATCCCAGCACTTGAAGAGGGCAAGGCAGGAGTTTGAGAATGGGCTGGCCAACATGGTAAAACCCCTCTGTACTAAAAATACAAAAAAATTAGTTGGGCGTGGCAGTGAACACCTGTAATGCCAGCTACTGGAGAGACAGGAGAATCACTTGAACCCGGGAAGCGGAGGTTGTAGTGAGCCGAGATCATGCCACTGCACTCCAGCCTGGGCAACAGAGCGATACGTTGTCTTAAAAATAATAATAATGCTAACATGTAAAATTGTGATTTATTCAAAAGATACTTAATTTTTACTGCTGCACTAGGACTACAGAGATGTCAGGTAGCTTGTGCCTTTGAGAAACTTAAGTCTGGTGGAGATTGATGAGACAATAGATGATTATAAAACAAATCTGGGCTCTTAGAGGTCTAGAACCAAAGCAGAGAGACGTGGTACTGAGCGGGGGCTGGTGGAGCTGGGCTTCGCCAAACGGGTCAGGTCCAGAGAGGAGCGACTAAAACAAAGGAACCATGGGTCGGGGGGGATGTAGGTTGTTCTGAAAGCCTGGGGTTTGGGATGATGAACCTGGAGAGGCACATGGGACACATCATCAGGGCCTTGGCTTTGCAGCAGAGTTGGGCCTCTATCCTGATAGCTTAAGGCAGTGGGCGAGCAAAGGAGGGGCTGGGTAATAGGAAGTAAGCTCAAGAGAGATGTAACACAACATCCAAGCAAGATGGGAAGCCTTTGAAGGACTTTGGCAGAGAGTGGAAGGATCTGATGTGCTTACAAGGATCACTCTCACTGCAGTGTGGTGAATAGACTGCAGGCCGGGGCAATGGTGGAGGCCGGGAGACCAGACAGGAGGCTGTGGCAGTATGGGCCGGAGGTGACAGTGGCTTGGAAAAGGGTGGGAGTAGTGGAGATGATAAGAAATAGGTCACATTCTGGAGATACATTTTTAAAGTTTGTAATATGGACATTTTCAAACCTATGCAAAAGTAGAATTGTTTGGTGAAGCCCAGGCCACCCATCATTCAACAGTCAACAATTCATAGCCAATGCTGTTCCATCGATACCCTCTCCTACTTAATTTCCTTCTCCACTGTCTTACTTTGAAGCAGATTGTAGATATCATACCATTTTATCTCTAAATATGCCAGTATATATCTCTACAAAGTAAACAACATTTTAAATATAACCATACTATTATAATTCCTTAAAAATTAACATTTCCTTAATATCAAGTTCCATTCATTAAAATTTCTGGTTATCTCATAATGAGAAGACATAATTTTTTTTTTTTTTTACAATTGGAATCAGAATTCAACTAAAGTCCTATACTACAAATAGCTGATATATCTGTCTTCAATAGGTTTTTCTATTTTTTCCCCTTTGCCATTTCATTCCTAAGAAATTATGTGTTTACAGTCTAGGAAGAAAAAAGACAACTCCCTAGATTGAGTTATGTTCTTCGTTAAAAGGTGCACTCTGTGTGGCTGAGATACTGGATGCATTTTGAAGACAGATCTGATAACGATTTGCTCATGGTATAGGTACCAGGTGTTGAAAAAGAGAGCAATCAAAAATGACACCAAGGTTTGGGCCTGAGCAATTAGTAAGGATAGTGTTGATAACAAACTGGATACCTGGGTTGGAAGTTCAGAAGAGGAGACTGACTGGAAGTATGGATTTGAAAGTTGTATTTCATTCATTCAAAATATCCTTGAGGTGGGAGTACAAGAATGGGCAAAAGAGTCCCTGGAGCCTGTGACATAGTGGGGAACACAAAAGGCTAAAAAGCTAACTAATTACAACCATAGTAGATGCTATGAAGAGGAGCTGCATGGTGCTCTGAGGACAACTAATGGGGGAATGTGACCTAGTTGAGCGGTTCAAGGGAGGCTGTCTTTGAGGAAGTAATTTTTTTTTTTTTTTTTTTTTTTTTTTGCAGATCTAAACCTGAGGAAGTCACTTTTGAGCTGAGGTCTGAAAGATGAATAAGAGTTGAAAGGGGAGAGAGTTTCTAGGTTGAGGGACTGGCAGATATCAAGGGCTGCCTGTGGAGGGAACGCAGGCAGTGTTGGAGGCCAGCGGTGGCCGGAGTGCAAGAGAAATCGATTTAAAATCAGACTAGAGGACAGGAGCCATACTGCGCAGAGCCTTCAAGGTCATGCTAAGAATTTGGATCTTATATCAAGAGCATCAGAAAGCCACTGAATTATTTAAAGCAGGTAGGGACAAGAAGAGGTATATTTAATCCGTTTTGTATTATAAAAAAAGTCACTGTGGCTGAAATGTAAACAATGGCTTGGAAGACGGTAGTGGCCAGAAGTAGAGCAGTGGGGAAGCTACTGCTGTTGTCCAGGCTGGAGATGATAGTGGCTTGGATTTGTTAAACGGAAAAACTTTAAACAAGTTAAATGTAACAGAGTTTAACTGAGCAAAGAACCATTTGTGAATTGGGCGCCCCTAAGAACCAGAATAGGTTTTAAGAACTCCAGCCTGCAACATAGTCGGGGAGCATTTATAAGAAGAAAATGGAAGAAGTTAGGTACAGAGACAGCTTAATTGGCTACAGCTTAGTGTATTCCCTTATGTGAATCAGTCAGCTGCCTGAGATTGACTGAAGCTCAGCTGCTGAACTGAGACTCAACTGTTAGTTTAGGCTTTTAGTTAGTTTACATACTAAGGTTGCAGTTCATTTCAGACTTGAGTATGAAGGCATCCTTAGGCGAGAGTTAGTTTAATTTAACAGATGATGTGATTGCAGCGAAGATGGAGAGAAAAGGGAGGATTTGGGAGATACGAGAGAGAATCAGCAGGACTTGATGTTTGATGGTATATGGGAACTGAGGGCTAGGGATGGATCAAGGATAGTCTTTAGGTTTTAGAATTGTTGAAGCTAGGAGTGCAAGATATACCCCATGAGGCTTGTATAGAGAAGGAAGAATCCAGAAAACACCAATACAAATGGCTCCTGACTTCTGAGGTTTCCACTAATAATTTTTTTGACTTCATGGTGATGCAAAAGCAACACACGTTCAGTAGAAACCATATTTTGAGTGCCCATACGATCATTCCATTTTTCACTACGTATAGCATTCAATAAATTTCATGAGCTATTCTATACTTTGTCATAAAATGGGCATTGTGTTGGATGATTTTGCCCAACTGCAGGCTAAAGTAAGCATTTGATGCACACATAAGACTTAGACTAGGCTAAGCTATTTGGTAGATTAAGTAGATTAAATGCATTTTTTCCTTATGCTGTTATATTTTTAACTTATAATGGGTTGACTGGGACATACTTCCATCATAAGTCAAGGAGCATCTGTATTTGAAAGATGAGTCAGATAAGAGTCTATATAACAAACCAAGGCAGAGAAGAGGCCAGAGAAGTGCAGACCTCAGTGTCTGATAGAATGACACAAATGGAGGGTTCAGAAACGAGCTGTCTCAATACCGTTAGGGTCTATGCTTTTCGAAGCTCTGCACAATTGCCATCTGCTTCCTCCCTTGCGCCAGTCTTGTTGTGGCATGATGCTCATCTTCGTTTGGAAGCTGTGGATGTTGAAGCACAGGGGGGTTAAGGGGCTTGCCGGGCCAG